AGCTCTTCCCCCCACATAGGAAACCGCAGCAACGCGGGACGGCTCGAGTCACAACTGAACCTGAGCCCGCCCAAGGCTAGCCGTGTTCTGTTCTAGTCTTTCCCCTGTGCCAGCGGAACGGAATTGATAGGAGGCGTTCCCTGGATGAACGCGGATTAACCGACCGCGTCGCGTCGGGAGGGAGAGACGATCCGTCTGTCGCGGGCGTGGATGAATGTAGGGTACGTATTCAGTAGGATCGTGTGTAGGGATAGTGTAAGTGACCGATACCTAGCTAGTAGCCTTATCGCTTCAGGGGAATAAGGAAGGGGGAATTCCACGGGGTCTGTCTTCTTTGAGAGGAGGCAGTTGTGTCTTTCTTTTTCCCGTGCCTGTGCGGCTGCCTGAGATCTCAGGAACCCTCACGTGTCGGATGATCAGGTGGTTTGGAAGATATACTTTCTTCATCACTTCCTTGGATTTCATTTCCGACCATCACATCACACTGATCGTCCTCCTTGATCGATCTTGGTGTTCGCTTCCTGTATCTACTCGTTTTGCCATCCACGAGCAATGCGCCACGACCGACTCTTCCTCCTGCCTGACTGCACATTCGCCAATAATCCCTTTACCCTCCCGCCCCATCGGCCCACACTTGAGCACATCTGGATCTTCGGTCGCTAATGGAGACGTGAAACAGAGCGAGATGCTATTCCCATGGTACGCTGTACTCGCTACTCAGTTTGCGGAGTATCGGCCATCTATCTGAGAACCCGTGGAACCGTCCTGCCGACAGAGCATTAACTGGATCAATCTGATCGAGTCGCAAATGTGGAGCCCTCTTTCCGATAGTCGAGATCGAGTGCGCGCATCTGGTCTATGTGACTGCTCGTGGCTTGGAGCACACACCAGCCGTCACTTTGACAGGATCTGGCTCCTCGTGCGTCTAGATCGACGGCTATCGTATCCTGGCTCAATGTGCATGACAGCGCACGCTCGACTGGGTGATCTGGTCCACCTTAACTCCTACACTGACATTTCCGGCGACAGCATATCGAGCACGGAGTAGATAGATCAACTTCTTGCCCTCTGACACTAGGATGGCCAAGTCGCCGACAACGCACAGCAGACTAAGTGGATCCTCATCGCCAATGATGCCTCTTCAGACCAAAGAGCGAATTAGCGGTATATCCTTCCAGCCATTGCCCCGTGCCTCTCCACTCATGGACTCAATGCCTTGATTTCACACGAGCGCACGGCCATCCGAAGAACCAGAATTAGCATCATACTGTACAATGCTCAACAAAGTACGTTCTATCTTGCTTTTTGGAAATGGAACGCTTCATGCATTACCGCTCGCCCGCGCGATTAAATTCTTCAGGGACCTGCATGTAGCCTGGATCCAACTAGTAGGTAGCTATCTGTTTTCTTCTGTCGTGGCGTCCGGACTACTTGGTGGATGCGTCGTCTAGTCTCACAGTGAGGCAGGATTTTCAGATGCGTGCATGATATAGCGGGTGGAGGCGCCAGTTGCCTAGACAGGCGGTTCAGCTCCGGGATCAGCGTGCGATCCATTTTCTTTTTCCTCTTTCGTGAGGGACTAACCGATTGGTAGCTGTCAGTTTGCTCTAGCCAGTGCCGGTCGCACTAGCTTCATTCACCGAGCCACGGTGATCCATTGCTCGATCATATCAGCGTGTGTACGGAGTAATTGAAGCTGAGCATGGAACACTTCGTCTCTACTAAGGGTCGCTTTGACATCACAATCTATAGGAATTAGATTAGACCTTCGGGAGGTCGGGAAGCCAAGCACGAGCCATATATTCCCGACGGCTTATGCCTAAGCTACGTACTCCAACTATCCGACCTCCAGGTCTTCTCCGCAATGGGCTAAAGGTTAGTGTCAGCCTTTGCGGGTGAGATGTTTGCGACTGGGAATGTAAGACCGCAATGTTACGCCGCAGGATAGCCCGAAGAAGAAACTAATGTGCGCTGAAGAATAACCCCTCTGCCGCCACTGCCACGCCAGCCGTGTCCCTTGAAACCAGAGGGGGGCAAATGTCCGCCGACTATTGATAGGCCCAGAAGAAGAAATACCGACGGAGAGACGCCGCATGTCGGTATGTGAAGTAGGTCGGTGCCTTCTGTCGGGGACCAACTTACCCAAACCAGCAACACTATCGGGGGTCCCTAGGAAGAATTTGCAGATTAGACCCATGCTAGAAGAACAGCTACTGCAGTAGGTGCATACCGGCAAACAATATCAAAAAAGCACGAGCCATTCAGGATGCCTCGCTCACTTCCCAACACGGATAAGCAGCCTAGTGCCATGCACGCTAACCAAATCATGCAGCTTTACTCGTGGGAATATTTTCGCCCCGGCAGCCAATGATCGCTTCGACGCGCACGTTCTTCTGCCCTTTCACGTGCGGTGTGACTTGACTGCATTGTCACATCGGGTACTTTCTATTTTGGCAACCAGTCGTGTTGCTGCGGGATGAAAGTACCCCCAGGTACCTTGTACATGAGGCTGGCATATGTCAATGCTTGTCAGGGCCTAGGCTACTTGCTCATTGTTTGTCCTCGGGCTGAAGAACCCTCTGGCTCATTCTGACAGGGCTTCATTGTTTGCTCTCTGCATGAAGAAGGGCTATTCACCGCTGTCTGGACCTTTGATCTCCGTATTCAATAATGCTGCCATTTTATTGCTTGTGATCGGGCAGATGTGACGCGTCGCGCAGCCTATACCTCGGATGGTTATATGTCTGCGTGCATGCCTCAATATAGGAACACTTATTGCAAGCATATCATTCTGCTAAGGACGCGACTGCGGACCTGCATGGTTATGGACAATATTATGTGCCACTATAGAAGTTAGTAACTGTGGCCCCTATCCTCCACAGACGACAATATATATCGGAAGCTGGTAGTGAAAGGCACAAATTTACATGTATATTCTCGCCTCGCTCTTGGCCACTAGAGTATATGCGTATAGTAGATACTCCACTTACTATTATAACAATTGGGCACTGCCACCCTTTGAACTTAATAGTATATAATATTGATAGTACTAGTCAGCATATCCCCACCATTCCTGCATCACTCAATATCCATCTACACACTGGCAGCAGACATGCGAAAATATCACTTCATTTGGCTTCCACCTGTTATTAATTAGAATTATGAAACCTTATGCATCTTCTTTTCGTTAATAAGCTCTTCTGGAGTCGCTTTTGCTATATTCGGTTCGTATTTCAGAGGAGTCAAGAAAGTATAGACTGTATGTAGTAGTGGTCGATTCGGTTTCATAGTAAGTATGTATAGTTCAGTCCAAGTAGCTAAGTAACGCTTCCTCTTCTTGGATATATATCTATATGTTATATCATCTTTATACATAGGAATACAAAATCTCGATCTCTACTTACACACTCTAATCCATGCGGACTGGGTCTTTCAGGTAGAGATATATACCAGTTTTAGATGAAAAGCTCCCACTCTTCGTAAGTACCTTTCATATATATATCTCCAATATAGAGGACTCTGGGGATTTTCTCTAAGTAAATATAGACTATAACATATCCCTATATTTCAAGTTCACTGTCCATATTCTGCAAATCTTCGAATCTTCATTACAGCATATGACGAAAAACTTGCGGAATTCAAACGCATATATTATAGACTATGGAGACTGACAAGATCGCCTCCAGTCGAAATGTCGATGGAAGCACCAGGTGCTTACCACTAGACCACCCGGCCACCAAGTGTAGACTGTGAAGTAAACCTATCTAGTAGCTAGTATCCTCTCTCCTTCTTCATAGCTTCTACTATCTTAGGATCTTAGTATAGTATCAGTAGCACTCACATGGTAGTCTCAGCATCTAGGGATTTTTGGCTGCTGAAGATTCCCACCTACGCTCATTCGAAGCATCCCACCAAAACTAAGGAATCTAGTACGTGGCTGTGATCATGGAAAGGCCTCTCTATCCTGTTATTTAGCTAGTAAGGTCACATGCCTAATCATGTCGTCGTTTCTACAAATTCATTGAATGAGCTTGAGAAAGAGGATGCATTTGGAATCCACTGTTCGCATGCACGTATGGTATGCTACTGCTGTGTGGAACGCACTGATATATATACAGGAGATTCTCTCCATCGTCTATTCGGAATTAGGGGATGATGGCTCACAGATGACGGGTCAGCTTGTTGTGACACTTGTTTATATCGTTGCGTTGTTGGAGGATTTTGCTTGGCTTTCGTGGTTTCTTGAGACAAAGGGATCTAAAGCTGTCCAGCTCCATATTCTCTGTTTTAAACAGTGAAACACCTGAGCTGCTAGCATCTATATCTAGCATGCTCGATCAGGTACAGGGTTATGAATTGAAATGAGGTGAGTTGGACCAGTTATATATATCATTAGTATCATCATGACAAATACATCAAAGACAAATGAACAACATCTATGTCTCTAACGCTGACTATAACGAGCAGGTTGAAATTAAAAAATATAATCGGCCCATGAGCAATTGGCAAGGTAAATGCTCAGTAAATCTCAACTAAATGGTACTTAGTCGAGAGTAAGAGCATACTTAATACATCGAGAAATCAATTTACGAATATGTTTGTTTTGTTCTATGTTGGAATATAACTTTCTGTATGCTCCCCATAAAGACACTGCATATCGTTTTGGATCTGGTGGTTAGCGTGTCGACATTTGATAAATCTCTTATTCTTATAAATAAGTCCGTGTTAATAAATAAGTCCGTGTTATTTATCGCAGCACTCCATTATGAAGATAAAAAGAAAGAAAAAGCAAATCTGAGACGTAGACCACGTGAACCAATGAGGAAATACCTTTTGCCGCCAGCTCAGGGCTACTAGCACTTAGTATATGCAAGCCAGGTGGTCGCGACAGACACCTCAGGCGGGGCTGATTGCCAGCCTCGTTCCTTCCAATTCACCCATCTCTACCTGAACGAATTTGACTCTCGAAGAGGCAACAACAGCCCCAAGGGTATTTCAGAATGTTTCTGAGGCTCTGTGCCAAACTCAACTTCTCAAAGAGAGATCGGCGTGGCCGTGAGAAGGACGAGGAACAGCTCGGTTTATCTCCGAGCACGAAAAACCACGATCGCGTCGTAGCAAACGACGACGTTGACGTGTCCTCCACGCCAGAAGCAGAAGCTCTCTCTCCCCCAAGAGCAGACCTCTGGGAAGTGACCGGAGAAAGATCAGACGAGAAAGATCGAATGGCCCTACATGGCCGTGAGAAGCGTGATGAACTGTCTGGCCCCCCTCCGAGAACAGGAGACGTTTGCGTCGTAGCAAGTGACGATGTTACTCCCCAAAGAGCAAATCTCTGGGAAGTTGCTGGTGGAAAGCTAGACGAGAATGACCGGAAGGCTCTGGGTTTGGAGCGCCCCCTCCTTATCACGGATGCTATCGAAGGTGTGATCAAGTCCACCGAAGAAAAATACCGTGAGTACCAGGAAGGCGGGCTCAAGATTCGCAAGCGCGATGGTGGGCATATCAACGTCCGCGATTCCGCGAAAAACATTATTCTCCATGCATTGCAGGCGCAGGATCTTGTCACCAAATTGGTCTCCTTTGATCCGACTGGTCATGGTAAGTTACTACAAATTGACCTTTACAAGGTTTTAGAATGCATGCATAGATGTTGACAGTGAGGCCCAGCATCAAGTGCATGGTCAGTTGTTTCGATCGGGCTTTCAATAATAAAAAACGACATTGAACGCCGGGATGAAATTCTCCACGCAGCCGAGTATCTAGCCGGCATTCTTTCCTACTATGCGATCGTTGACAATCATTATCGAGAAAGGAAAGTGGAAAGCGATCGAGAATTGGAAGACGCTCTGATTGAAGTCTACATTGCCGTTCTTCAGTACGCGGCAGAGGTGAAAAAGGCAGAACAAGAAAGCAACGCTGGTATGTGATCTTATCTTGAGGATGTTCTTCAGATGGTGATATAAACTGATATTTTGAGAGCTCGTATATTGAAAAGCGTCACGGCCCTTGTCCAACAGCCGTTCAAGGAACTCAAGGGAACTGTGGAGAAGAAAGAGCAGGCTGTTCAAAAGTGGGCAAATGTTACGGAAGCTCTAGGTACTACCACCTGTTGTTTGCCAAGGTCATCCAACATGAACCCTCGCTCAGTTTTACAGACCACAGAAGACAAGCAGAAAGCATGCTCGACGGAATTGACGAGGCGGTTGAAAGGCTAAAGATTATCCAATCGCACACTAGAAGTAAGGGACCCTCAAGGCATCGATCTTTTAAAAAGAGCGTACACTAATAACAGCAGGCTTGCAAGACCGAGAGATTCTCAACTGGTTATCCATGGCATCCTATTCAGATCCTCAAAATAACGCTCGAGGCCACCGCGCATCAGACACGGGTAACTGGTTTCTCAATTTGCCCGAGTATAAAGAGTGGAAGATCACACCTGGAAAGATCTGTTGGCTTTATGGAGCAGGTGCGTTCCCCTAATTAATATAAGAGGAAGTAATTCTGATATCTTGCAAAAGTCGGCTGCGGAAAGTCGGTTCTTTGTTCTACAATTATCCAGGATATCGAGGAATTCTGCAATTCTGATCCATCAAGAAAATTTGCCTACTGGTACTTTCAATTCAGCAATGACGAAACACAGAAGGTGTACAACATGATTCGGTCCATACTGCGACAACTCATGCCACGAACACTTCCTTCATCTATAATAAATCTCTGGGAAGAACATAGCTCTCGGGGCAGTAAGCCACAACAGCAAAAATTCGCAGACATTCTGGACGTCGTCTTGGAATCTTCCCAGGGCGAGGTTTTTCTCATCTTAGATGCACTTGATGAGTGTCCAGCGACTGGAGACGACGGACGAAGCTCGCTTTTGCAGTTTATCGAAGAAATGCTAGAAAAACATCAAAGCAAAATGCACATTCTCGCCACTAGTCGACCAGAGCCTGATATACGCTCAAGACTAGAACGATATCAAAGCGTGGATCTGGAGATTGGACTGGGGCAAGATGTGGAAACTTTCGTCCGTGCTCAAGTTGCTCATGGCAGGTTGCGCGAATGGGGCGAGTCGGTCAGAAAGAGGACTCTAGAGAGATTGCTTGATATCCCGGAACGGTATGTTGCATTGATCCATCAATATGTATAGCCTGATTGATACATGTAATTGAGCAGGCGCTTTCGCTGGGCTGATTTGCAAATAAAGCGGCTACAAGAGTCCAAGACTGAGGCTGCATTTCATAAGGCTCTTGATACCATTCCAGCCACACTCGAGGATACCTATAAAGATGCCCTTGAGCGGCTGTCGCCAGAGGATCGGGAGGTGGCTCGCACGATATTGATTTGGCTCAGTTTTTCTGCCGTCCCGCTAGATTTGAAGACTGTCGCGGCTGTTGTGTCTTTTCGTTTCCCAGCAGATGTTGTAACAACCTGCACTACTTCTCTAGTCACTGTGAGCATGTCTGATGATACAGTGAGACTGGCTCATTTTTCTGTGAAGGAATTTCTGGTACACAACGAAGTTGAGGGTCACTGGTATCAGTTCTCGGTCACATATGGCCATGAGGCCATAGCTAATAGAGCGGTCGACTGTCTGCTTGAGGCTACCGAGGTTCTAACAAAGACCACTGCCGCGCAACAGCCACTACTGATCTACACCGCACGATACTGGCACCATCACCTGGCACAATTAGGAAATCTCCACACCAGTTGTATTAATCTCCAGGAAAAGGTTGACCGCCTGTTCACCGAACGCAATGTCTATTTTAACTGGATGCGCTCCTATTATTCCAAGTGGCTTAATGAAATATGGCATCAATCTTTCGAGGAGCTGCAATCGCCTCTGAGCTCTGCATCAGAAAGAGGACTAAAATCAACGGTTGAGTTATTGCTTGCAAAAGGTGCCGATCCTATGAGATCATCTCTTTATGGACAGGGCGACAATGCATTGCTAAAAGCCGCAAAGAAAGGTCACCTGGAGGTCCTACAGTTGTTGTTGAATAGGGTGGATGAGATACCGCGAAGTGTGACTAAGCACATGCTGATGATTATTCGCGCCACCGAGTCCGACAAAGAGAAGTTAACAATGATTTTGGACCTGCTTTGAGAAAAGGGTGCTTTGCGTGATCAATTAAAAGTATCCCGTATGATCATTGATGGAGAACTAGTTGAAGGGGCAGCTGAGAATGACGAGTCGGGCCATATGCTAATTGGTTGGCTCTTAGATCGAAAAGATAAAATCGATGTCAAGATAACTAAGAGGTTGATTGTAGCTGCGCTTAACAATGAAAGCCGCGGCGAAAAAATCATACAATTGCTTCTAATTAAGTGTGATGTGGATGTGAAGTTTATTCAATCATTGATGTCGGTGTTTATTTTCTCAGGGAATATTGATGCCATGAGTGCCGTCCTCAAGAGGTGGGTGCATGAACTTGTGTTGGATGAAGAGTGTCTCGAAGCTTTCGTCCAGGGAAAAAAAGATACGATGGAGCTGCTTCTGCAGGAGCGGGGGGAGGAAGTCCAAATTACCCAGAATGTCCTGATTACAGCTGCCAGCAGTGCAAATGATCTACAAACAATGAGGCTCCTGCTAGACAGGCGGAAGCCCGGAACACAAATCAATAGAGAGGTGCTTTTAGCTGCTGCAAAAAACGATTCAAAGAGCAGTGCGATCATGGATATGTTGCTCGATGAGTGTGGGCAGGACATCGTCATTGATGACGAAATCATTCAAGAGATTGCAAAGAACTTTGATGAAGGCTTGGAAATGATGAAGTCTCTCATCTGCAGACAGCAAGCGGGTTTTGTGGTCACTGAGCGGATATTATGCAATGCTGCTCAATATCACGGTCGACAAATGCTGGAGCTCCTGGTGAACAATGCCAGTGGCTCTGACCTTCCCATCACAGAGAAGATCTTACGCTCTGTAGCTGAAAATGATGATCATGGTCGAGCCTTGATAGAGTATCTGTTTGAGCTCCGAGGCCACAGTCTTCCCGTCTCAGAGGATGCATTAGTATTTGTTGCTGATGCAAGGTGTCACAAGACGGACGAGGTGCTCATGTTCCTTTTAGAGAGATGGCCTGATATCCCGGTAACTGATCGACTGTTCGAAGCGTCATGTATCCACCATAATGCCATGAGTCTCCTATTGGATCAACGGGGTGACTACCTTCCAATCAAAGCAATGATCCGCAAAATAGCAAAAGCACCTGTGTGGACAAGGAGAGAAAAGATACTAGACCTGCTTCTAGATCGGCAGCTTGTGGAAGTGGATGAGTGGCTGGTGGAAACAGTCGCTGATAACCACATTCTTCTGGAGGTTATTTACCAGAGAATTCCGGATTTCCCAGTGACACCAGAGGTAGTTATCAACGCTACAAGCAACAGCGATGCAATGAGTATCGTGCTTGACAGACAGAAGAATCAAGTCGTGATCACAGAGGAAGTGCTCAAAGCTTCATTGTCGGGATGGAGATCTTACTCAGTCATCCGCTTACTCCTGACTCGCCTGGATCCAAGCGCAGTGCCGATTACAGAGGATATCCTGATATATGCTATCAAAAATGATAATTTCCTGCATAATAATATCAGGGCTCTAGAGTTGTTTTTAGAACAACGCCGTGGCCTCAACCTTAGCAGGGTCTGGGAAGCAATATGGCAGAATCCTGAAATCGAACCATTTTCTCTGACTCTGGCAGCAGAGGCTCTTTTTCAATATGCTAGGCTTGATGTCTCGGGTGAAATGCTGGAGAGACTCTCATCTGAGTCCGGGTCGTGGTTTTACCCCTTTGATAATTTCGTCCGCTGCTGTATGCAGTACCAGATACCGTTACCCACCACCGAGGCAGCAGTCGAGTTGTTTGTTGAAAGAGCCAGCTTGAAAACGATCGATATATACTTGGAGGATAATCCTGACATCGCCATTACCGAGAAACATATTGAAGCTGCCAAGAGGAATCCGATAGCAGACGTGGATAACGATGAGTTGGTTTCACTTCTACTGTCTGTCAAGTCGAGGGTAGCCTCATCTTGAAGAGCACTGGAGATTTTGATATTCATGTTGTTTTTGTTTTCTTTTTCTTAGTGTTCTTTCTTTTTGCTGCTTCAAGTCAGATAATAAATATCCTTGATTTGACTCTTGTTTGGTGTTTCCTGACTAGATAGACATCAGAGCTTCTCTCTCTCTTCTCTCTTGGATCTCAGTTTCCGCCAACCATTACGTGGTTCGTCCATCCATACTACTCACTCACCACGTCTGTTACCCTGAAAGTTCAATTTATCAGACTGTACACCAGGGATTGACTACTGTAGACATTACTAGCACGCGTCTCTAATGAAAGTTCCAAAGGGGAAGTACACAAGTAACCAGTGGACATAGAACTTGCACCAATGGAATCCGATCCGATTAGGGTCAGAAAAAGAATGTAAGAGATGAGACCACTACTACCATACTCTAGTGATAAACAAACCTAGTGGACATTAGAAATGATGCTATATACTACTTAAGACCACTTCCAACACACTTACCCATATAGTCCACAACTACTCATCCCAACACATAAAAATAAAAATAAGCACACCATCACACACCAACAACAACTACAAATACACCTAAAACAACCCCTCCATATCCAAATCCAAAAACTCGGGATTCCCCACCGCCATATCCGCCGCATTCAACACATCATCAATACTCGTATCCAACCCCCCACTTCCCATCCCTCCCATACCTCCAGCTCCCCCACCACCATCCATTCCCGCCGCGACAGCATTATCCAGCATCTGGTTGATCGTACTCTCCTCTTCGTGGCCGCCTGCCCCGGAGGTATCCAGGTCCATTTGTCCCGGTCCACCTACACCGACACCGAGCTGCATGTTCTGAATGATATTGTTCATGTCTAGCTGCGAGGGCGGAGTAAGGGCGGCGTTGACGCGGCGCCAGAGCCGCACGATGATTTCCGCGCGGAGAGGATCCTTTTCGCAGATCTTGGGGACGGAGTCGTGTAACTGATAGAGGGCGCCGCGGGGGGTGAGGATTGGATTACGCGGGGGGATTTCTTTGGTCGTGTTGGTAGGGTCGATGTGGTGAGGGGAGTAGGTGTTTTGGTCGACGGCGAAGGAGTCAGCCAGGGGGGCGCAGATCATGGTGGCTGCGATGTCGAGGGCGAGGTCGCTGCTGCCTGTAGTGTTTGTGGGGGAGGTGGTGGCTTGGAGTTTGAGTTCGTCGATTAAGGCGCAAAGTACGCGCATGGAGCCTTGGATGTGAATTCCTGCGATGAATTGGCGGTGGGTGTAGGATTGAGGGGCCATGCTCATGTCTGGGCTGGTGCTCCAGAGGATGAGCGATTGGAAGGTGCTGCGGATACTGGCGAGGAGGCCGCCGGGGGTGTGGGCGGTCCAGGACTCGAGCTCGCTGCGGCGGGTGCTGCCGCTGCGTTGGAAGGAGAGGTGGGGTTCGAGGGCCTCGAGGATGGGTTTGATGGTGTCGTCGGGTTGGCGGGAGCGGATGCTCTTGAGTTGTTCTTCGAGGGAGCGGGCCGTGATGTTGAGGACGGTTCGGTGGATTTCTTTGGCTTCGCCGGAGATGGAGCTCGGGCTTATGAGGGAGTGGAGGGCTTTGAGGGGGATGGAGGGGTCGCTTTCGGATTCCCAGATGTGGTTGCCGAGCCAGTTTAGGGCGAGGATGAGGGATGGGAGGAGGAAGGGTTCAAGGAGGTCTAGTGTTGTTAGTTTTGAGGAGAGGGAGGGTAGGGGGTGTAGGGCTTACATTCGAAGCCGCCCTTGAGGGTATCGAAGTCGAGCTTTCCTGCTTCGCATGCGCTGAGACTTTGGTTGAAGAGTGTTGTCACTAGCATGTAGAATTCCTGCGGGCTGCAGGCGGACATGGTCTCCTCGCTGATTCCCTCGGCCATGAATAGGGCGTTGATCCAGGATCCGAGGTTCTTGTTCTGCTTCTCGCTGAGGTCGTCGAGCTTCTGGCTGCAGAAGCCGTTCTCGAGCAGTCGCAGGACGAAGGAGTTGCTACCTCCGATTCCCATGTCCTGTGGCCGCAGATCATATCGGAACTTGAAGGTCAGCACGAGTAGAAGAATGCTTCCGAACTCGTCGTAGACTGGTTGGCTCTCGCCCTGGTCCTCGTCCCAGTGCCAGGCATCTAGCAGAGCGCAGAGCGGTTGGAGCACTTGCTTCAAGCTTCGGAAGAGCAAGATCACGTCCAGGGCCTGTGGCCGACGGGAAAGTGAGTTGCAGATGTTTTTCAACGTCATCGTCTCTTTTTGATTGCAGAGATGGTGCATGACCTAGTTGCGTTAATCTTTGAATACGACAAAATCACCGGAGGACCTACATCTGTAATAGCACCCACTATCGCACCTGCGTTGCCCTCCATTGACTCTATCTCGTTGATCAACTGCTCTGCACGCTCCGGATTGGCATTGATCTGCGAGACGAGCTCGTCCTTGTTGTAAGGGCCACCGACGGGGAGAGTCTGCATTGGATTCTCGCCCAACAGGCGCTCAATACTCGACTCGGGAATCAACTTGTGCGAGGCACACGCGAACAGGAACTCTTGTCGCACATCGGACAAGACCGTATTGCTTTGCATAGCGAACATCTGCGAGAACGATGGGAATGTGTTTGGATCGAGCCGGCTTAAAGCATGGCTGATGCAAAGCTCCATCGGCAACGGCAATGACACAATAGAGGCTGCCAACATGGCCGCGATGAAGGTGGGAAGCTTGTTTACCAGAAACGAGCGGAACAAGAACATTGTTCGGCTAGACTCGTTGCGGTAGCTAGCATTTGAGAGGACATCGAACGATGCCGTTATGAGCTCCTCGATGAGAACTTGATAGTGTCCCTGCGATGGTCAGCTAATGCTGTGATAAACATGGGTCCTACTCACGCCGTATCTATTTGACAAGAAATTGAGCAGCATGCTATCGTCCACCAAGGGGCGGCCCACAAGCTAGAATCCAATTAGTAATAATCAAACCAGAGTGCAGCAGCTGAAATACCATCGCATTGATATACACATAGAGGCCTGCTCTGGAATTAATCACAGGCCCGTCCATGACCGAGTCCTCAAACTGAAGCGCATTGACATTGACATTTTCCATCATGGAAACATCCAACGCTTTCGACGGGGGCTCTCCAAACAGATTGAACTCCTTCTGCAAGCTATCCAACCGGTTACGGAGAGGCAGGGATACTTCCACACAGAGGGGAAGATACGCCGACAAAGCCTGTCCAAGCTTTATTTTCAACGCTATCAGGCCGTCAGTACGTTTCTTATCCTAGTAGCCAATGGTGCAATGCAATACCTTCATGAGAATCCGCCGAAAGAACCTCCAACCCCTTAGCCGTCCCCGAAAGCGCCGCAAGCAGAATCCCCAGACTCTCAAACAACGACACCGCATCAGGCGAACTCATCAACCCGCCCGTCTGATGACTGGTATCCAAATGACTATTATGCCAAGCCACAACCGCCTGAATCCAATCCACAATCGACGCAAAGATACTCAACGCCTCAGCAAAAGTCTTCGAAGCAGTGCCCGTCGAAACAGAAAGCATAGCGTCCTGAACCACCCTGATATCCGTCATCAGGGTATAACACTTCCGCTTCTGCTTTCCCTGCACAGCAGCAGCAGCAGCAGCATTCGCCTCCGAGCCACCCGCCGACGGCATTTTATCATGAATAGACGAGTGCTTGAGCAACGAATTCAACATCGTCGATGTCCGCACCAATCCCATCTTGCACAGACAGTCAATATACAAAGGGGGCAGGGGATCCCATTTAATCCCCGTTGCGAGGCGCGTCTCCAGCAATACATCGAGCAGCTGAGCTTCACCAATGGGATAGCGCTGCATCAGCAGCCGCGTGAGGTTCTTGAACTCCGCGGCATCGATCCGGTGGAGCAAACATTGTTGGAGGAATGTCCCCCATTGTTCGGAGGATGTCATGTTCCAGATATTTTCGCGAGTTTACCTGGCTTTGCGGAGTGCATAGCAAGCATGCGGGGAGCTATATATTGGACTCAATTTACACGTTCACTTGAACTCGGCGTTGATGTAGCGTTGGACATCGTGGCCTTGGCCCTCCTTGTTGGCGGTTCTTTCCGGGGAAAGCTTCAACCGTTTGTTTGGACGACGTCGTGGAGGGTCACGTGGGATTAGATAAGCGGGTGTCACATGATGGGTGGTTGTTGAGGCTGATGACATTCAGTATAGAAGTATGCTTGACAAGGACGGAAGACAACCACAACATAGTTAGGTCTATAAGTGTGATAGAGTCTATATATCTAGTAGTATATACACACATGAGACCTATCTGTATATAAAGGACATAAACTTGGCTCAATGTCATGCCATGCCAATCAATACCTGTCAGACCCGAATCCCCGTAATTACAATACCATTCACGCCACGAACCATGAAGGAAGTAATCAAGTCCGAGCAAAGACCAAGACCCTGTGTAACCATAACCCCATCGGACCAACTACCTAGCTCGAACATGACAGACTTCAAACTACATGAGACACAAGAAAATCGAAATCGAGTTATACCTCAAACAGCATATGCAGCAAGCAAAGGAGTTGGTGTGCTCGGACGTTCACCGTTGTTAGTCAAAGCGATCTGGCGCCAAAAAACTACTACTACTCAAGCCCACAAATACCTGTACAGGCCAATCAAGCCCGCCAGATCAAGGGTAAACGGCCACACACTGGGCGCACATCCAGGACGAGTTGAACCATGGGACTAGATTGGGGGGCCCCTTGACGGGCAATTATATGTAAAAGGTTTCGATTATTGCAGAGTGGGGGATTTTCCACAGAGTACTAAGTAAAAGACTAGAGGGGGCTGGCTGGTGAGTGAGGGAGGGAGGGAGGGAGGGTACCTAGGGCCACAGTGAGAACCACTATCTTGAACCACACAATGGGACCTTGACTTTTCCCTTTCTCTCTCTCTGCCCCCTTCCCCACTCTTAAAAAAAGAATTAAGCGACGGAATTAGACCAAATACCATGTGAGATCT